AAAAATCCAATTGTAGTCAAGACGTTGTGGAACGTTCTCCATTGGGGATGAGCCACCACCATCTGCCCTCTCCTACCCGTCACCAGGGACATTGGCTGTAGTTGGTTCATGGAGATGCGAGGGGTCTGCTGGGCCACCCTCTCATGGTTCTGGGGAGCCCACTGAAGGGCTTTGCCTTCCCCTGGTCTCCCCTCGCGTGCTGGCCAGGATGCCAGGGTGCTTTACACCCTCACCATGCTGTATGGACCATCTTGGGCAGCTCAGCATCCATTGGACCTGAGACACCTTGGTGGCAGCACCTCTGCAGAGGGCCTTACCCTGCAGCCATCTGACTGGCCTGGCCGCAGAACCAGCAGGTCTGAAGACCACCCCTGGCTCAGCGTCCTGGCCTTGGGAGTGTCCCTTAAGGAGGGCTTAGGCAAACTGGTGTGCGCTGAGAGGCCGGCTCCCAGGAAGGCAGCCGGGACCTGCAGAAATTATGGGGTTCTGGAACAGCCTGAATACAGGAAAACTTGGTCAGAGAGTAATTTCCAAGAACTGAAGGCTGTTCTGCGACAAGGGAGAGACTCCTGTGTCACCTCAGACCCAGCTTCCAGGAGCCACAAGAGGGCGCTCTCCCTCAGGACAGTCTCAGCATGGGATGCTGTTCCCCCGTCCTGTCCTGCGTGCACGCGTGTTGCTGGGAGGGGTGGGGCAAGGCGAGGCTGGACGACCCTTCACTTAGGAATGACAGCTAAGAGTTTCCAGGTACTTACCACGTGCCAGGTTCTGTTGTAAACACTTGACACGCGACAGCTCACTTAACTCGCAATAGCCCAGTGATGGAGGCAGTGCTAATGCCCCGATGCACAGATGAGAAACTGAGGCAGAGGGAGACGCTGCCCAGACCACACGATGGTCAGCAGAGGCCGGGGAAAGCTGCAACCTGGCTACAGCACACGTTCCATCAACCCATGGCCACCATCCTTCCTCCAACATAAGGTGAGGACAAGCAGTGCTTCTCGGACTTTATGTTCAAACGAATCACCTGGAGATCGTGTTGACCCCTGGATTCTGAGTCTGTAGGGGCCTGGGCTGGGTTGGGGCCTGAGATTCTCTGTTTCCAACAAGCTTCCAAGAAATGCTAATGTTGCTGGTGCCTGACCACACTTTGAGCAGCAAAAGCCTTGAAGCCCACAGAATCCTTCGCAGCTGTAACGATCACGTGTGCCCTCAGGCCCTGTGGGCATCCAGGAGAGCTGGAGCCCTGTCTGGATTGTGGTGGGAGGGAAGAGAGCAGGGCAAGGGCCCTGGGGCATCAGGTCTCCAGAGAGTGGGCTCCCCCTCCTCCTAGACGGACACAGAGCCAGCCTTCCCCTCCCCTCCTCTCATAGCCACAGCAGGTGCCCTGTTTAGGGCATACCTCTCCCAGGAGGGTGGGCATGGGAGGTGAGCCGGCCCCAACACACAGACACATAGACACGCAGATACAGAAGACACACAGGCACAGATAGACACAGACACAGACAGACACTCATACATAGATAGACACACACATAGACACACCACAGACACATACAAACACACAGATACACACAGACACACAGATATAGGCACACATATGCAGACAGACACAGACAGACACAGACACAAATAGACACACATATACAGATAGACATAGACACATAGATACAGACACACACCCAACCCCTGCTGGGCCTGGCAGGCCAGATCTCTCCAGGGACTAGACAGAGTGCACATGGCAACCTCGCCTGCAGAAGGCCTTTCTCCAAGGCTCCCACTGACCGGGAGAGGAGGTGACAGACTGGGAAGTGACACCTCTCACAGGTCCTGTTGTTTTCCCAAACCTCCCCCTTCCACTCCATCCTTACTCTGCCTGGATGACCAGAGGGGCCTCCTAATCGGAAGCCTGCCTCTCTACTTCCCCTGCTTGGGCTGGCTCCCATATGCAGTTAGCGTGGCCTTATGACACAAAACATAACATGCCACCCACACTTTAAAATCTCTAATGGAATAACATATTTACATTAAAAAAAAAAAACTCAGGGACTTCCCTGGCGGTCCAGTGGTTAAGACTCCATGCTTCCAATGCAGGGGGCATGGGTTCAACCCCTGGTCAGGGTACTATGATCCCACAAGCCACGTGGCACGGCCAAAAAAAAAAAAAAAAAAAATTCAAAAACTTTTTTTTGTCCACGGTATAAACTACTTACTTTCCATACAGAAAGGAGTTAGGTCTGACTGCTTATCCTTAAAAAGGCCTGCTCACCAGGCTGGCCCTTGTCTGGCATCTGGGAACAGAGATTTCGAGTCGGGGGGTTCCTACACATTAACTGAGAAGAGTGGCTCCCTGTCCCTAAATTGTCTGTAGAAACAGCCAATACGATTCATGTTGAACCCCTGCTTTCCTTCTAGGAGTCTGGAATTTGGGTACGTGCCAGGCAGAGGGTGCCTCTGGGGTCAGCCCTGTATTAGTCAGAGTTCTCTAGAGAAACAGAACCAATAGGATATATTTATGGAGAGGGGGCAAGCGATTCATTTTAAGGAATTGGCTCATGCAGTTGTGGGGTTGGCACGTTTGAACTCTGTAGGGGAGTCTGGCAGGCTGGAAATTCAAGAGTCGATGTTGAGGCATTTGAGCCCAAATTCTCCGGGCAACAGGCAGGACGTCTACGCTGCAGTCTTTAGGAGGATTCTCCCTTCTTACGGAAATCTCAGTCTTTGTTCTTAAGGCCTTCAACTGTTTGGATGAAGCCCATCTATATTATAGAGAATAATCAGCTTTACTCAAAGTCCACTGATTTATATGCTAATCTCTTCTAAAAAATACCTTCACCAGCAACATCTAGACTGGTGTTTGACCAAACTGGGCATGGTAGCCTGGCCAAGCTGACATAAAAAGTTAACCGGGCTTCCCTGGTGTCGCAGTGGTTGCGAGTCCACCTGCCGCTGCAGGGGACACGGGTTCGTGCTCCGGTCTGGGAAGATCCCACATGCCTCGGAGCGGCTGGGCCCGTGAGCCATGGCCGCTGAGCCTGCGCGTCCGGAGCCTGTGCTCCGCAGCGGGAGGGGCCGCGACTGTGAGAGGCCCGCGTACCGGAAAAAAAAAAAACGAAAAACTAACCATCACAGCTCCCAGTAAAAATCCCCGGCCCTGAGTCTCTAAGGAGCTTCTTTGGTTGGCAGTGTTTTATGCGCGTTGTCATAACTCATTGCTGGGGGAAGTAGGTGTGTCCTGTGTGGTTCCCTGGGAGAGGACTCTGACTGCATACCCTCAAGAACAATTTCCCTTGCACCTGCTGTCCCCTGACTTCGCCTCATGTGCCTTCCCTTTGCTAACCTTGTTTTGCCTCCTGTTGTTCTAATAAATCACAGCTGTGAGTACAGCTACCCACTGAGTCCTGTGAGTCCTCTTAGTGAATCGTCGCCTTGGGGATTCCCGGCCCATCCTCAGATGCTCTTATCTGGGCCTGGCCAGCCTCCTCAGTTCCAGCCTCTGCTTCTCTCCACCGTATACCCCACATTCCCGCCATACTGATCTATCTAGTACCTGAATATGCTATGCTATCTCATGCCTCCATACTCTAGAAGGCCCTTCTTTTCCTTTCTTGGTCTGGCTAACTTGTATGCAGCCATCAAGACAGCCTGTTTGGTTATCCATTCCTGTGGAACAAACCGTCCTGAAACATAGTGGCTTAAGACAGCAACAATGTATTATTTCTTATGATTCTGTGGGTTGACTCAGGCAGTTCTTCTCTTTCCCATGGTGTTGGCTGGAATGTTAAGAAGGGTTGGTGCTGGCCACCGGCTTGTAGTTTAGCTGTGGCTATTGGCCAGGGACCCAATTCTTTTCCATTTGGGTTTCTCCACTTGGCTAATTGAGTTTCCATAAAGCATGGCAGCCGGGTTCCAGGAAGAAGCACTCCAAAAGGGCAAGCCCCAATATGCAAATACTTATCAAGCTGTAGCTTGCATCATTCTTGCTGATGTCCCATTGCCTTAAGCTAGTCACATGGTCAAGCTCAGACTCATCATGGGAAGGGACCCCACAAGGAGATGAATACTGGGGGTGTGTGGTTCATTGAGGGCCACCAAAGTACCAACATAGCTCTTTGTTCAAGCCTTCTCTGGCCCCTCCCCTGTGCCTACCCATTTATAGCACTCACCACACTAGATTGAAATAGTTTAATTGTTATGACTATTGTACTGTATTGCCACTTGTATTTATGGACTGAAGCTGCTCTGAGGGCTGGGACTCTGTCAAATTGCTCCCTGGCACAGAGTATGTCTGCAGAATAAATGATTGAATGAGAGCAGCAACTGTCATTACCTCCTTCATATCTGCCTGGTTCAAGCCCTGTCCCTACCTCAATTTAGACACAGGAAGTTCAACAGCTGTGAGACGCCAACTATGTCAGGTCCTTGAGTGCCTTAAAGCATGGCAGCTAGCCCTATACCGAGGCATACAGGAGGCACCTAACACATGTTAGTGGAATGAAGGGATGAATGAATGAGTGAGTGGATTTCCTAGGCATATCACTGAGATTTCCAAGCTACAAATGCATCAACTTCTTGCTTAAACATACATTGTGACCAAGCTGATCAGAAATCACACAACTCCACTTTCCAGAGATGAAACAGTTCCATGTGAGAATTGTCGAAAAGAGAGATTTTTCAGTGTTCTCCTTTCTGATTGAGGACCCTCATGAAGAACAGTCTTTTTTGCTGAGCCATGTTCCACCATCCTGTGTGGCTGGAGCAGAAGCAGAGGTCCTGGAATGGTGGAGTGAACTGTATCCTTCATAGTCTCCCCACGACTGTGACATCTGCTCCCTAGATTGCCTGGTCCTGAGCAGTGGCTCCTAATAGAGGCTCTGTCTCATGCTATAAATAGTCACAGAGCCATCTTCAGTGATAACACACTGGAGTGTGGAAACCCATTGTGTATTCAACTCCTCCCTATTGCAAAATTCTGACATCATCAGAGAATAAAAGGAGTGAATCATCCCTGTATAAATACTTTGATTAGATCATTTGCTTTCAAGACTAAAAAAAATGGGAAGAGAAAAAATCTTGGTGTTATTGCCCTCTGGACTGACATAAGGGTGTAACATCTCCCACCCTGCTCAATGCTAACCCTGAGGTAGCTGTGAGAATAACTTATTCCTTTTTTTGTTTTTAATAAATTTAGTTATTTATTTTTGGCTGCGTTGGGTCTTCGTTGCTGTGCGTGGGCTTTCTCTAGTTGTGGTGAGTGGAGGCTACTCTTCGTTGCCGTGTGCGGGATTCTCATTGTGGTGGCTTCTCTTGTTGCGGAGCATGGGCTCTAGGTGTGCAGGCTTCAGTAGTTGTGGCACGCAGGCTCGGTAGCTGTGGCTCGCGGGCTCTAGAGCACAGGCTCAATAGTTGTGGCCCACGGGCTTAGCTGCTCCGTGGCATGTGGGACCTTCCCAGACCAGGGCTCGAACCCTCATTGGCAGGCGGATTCTTAACCACTGTGCCACCAGGGAAGTCCGAGAATAACTTATTCTTACTTAAGACTATGTTTCCCTAGTTTCCATCCTTTGGAATATTTCATCTTTTGGACCTCAGTATAAGTAACTCAAATAAAAGAAAGTTTTGAAAAATAAAATTCAAGAAAAAGGATTTTTTGTTTTATAAAATTATTTTTTCAGTTTATGAAAGGATTAACAATATTATTTTCTACAGGTGAGCCCTCTTGATCTGTAAAAAATGAAAGTCATCTAGTCAGGGGCCACAGACTTTTCTGCCTGGCCAAATCCAGCCTGTTCTGTTTGTGCCTTTTTTGGACAGCACAGTAGTTGGTTTTTAAATTCGGAACTTTTATTGCTTAGATAGGGCATGTTCTCTGGTTCCCCACAGTTTCCACCACTGCCATTATGTCTCACACACAGTTAACTGCAGGACCCCTGTGGACATTTGAGTTTCCAACCTGTGAGTTCTCTCTCTCATTTTACAGATGGGGAAACTGAGACCTGGAAAGGTTGATTTGCCCAAGGCTGTACAGCTAGGAACTGGAAGACCTAAAAAGTAAGTTTCCAGGTTCCGGGTACGAGGCTCTCTCTCTTCTGCTTACTACATCTCCCCATCACTTTCCGGTAGCTTTGGGGAAGTTAACAAATCTGTGTGAAATTTCAGCATCTGTCACAGAAACAGCAAGCATTACTGGGGTGGATTTTGTAAGAACACTTATGTAAGGGTGAATTCTTGTGACCTTCCTCTTTCCTTTCTGCCTTCCCATCCCTCAGGGTGAGACAAACCTCACCCCTCAATGTCTTCAGACAAACTCAGGCGTGGAAAGAGGAACATTTTCCTACTTCTCCCTCTCAACAAATGGCTCTGATTGGAACATTTCTTCACATAATACACACAGTAAATGTTTCAGATGGTGCAAATGGGCACCTCTTCTGGAAAAATCCTACTGCTTACCCAAAGCCTTGCTCAGCCGTGGACACCAGTGTGAAGCTGACTCCATCCTTCATTTACATATTAGGGAGGTCTTCTCCCATGGTGCGGGAGGGACAAGACTTCACTACCTGTTAGTCCTAAGCTTACTTATCTTTTGTGTCTTCACCTTCCCATCCACTCTCCTTTCAATCTACATTTACTGAATTGAATTGAGAGAATTGAGGTTGATATGAGAGTTTCAGAAAACAATCTACACCTCCCATTTTTCTACCAGAATCAGACAAGGACGAGATGTTGATTACCTTTTCTGGAAAGGAAAATAAGACGCGTGCAAAAAGGCCCAAATAGCCTCACCTGTTCAAGAAAACATCGCCTAGTGTTGGGGTGAGAGCTGGACAGACTAGGGAGGGGGCTGCTGTTTAGGGTGACAGATGAAAAGTCCTAGAGGTGTCTGGCCTGGAAAGCAGTGATGGAAAGTGGACAGGGAGGTCCCAGATGGCCCCAAAGCACGCTGTTTATCTAAGTGTCTGAGCCTGTCTGAAATCCAGCAGTGAGTTTAGAACAAACAAATGGAAATCCTACCTCTAACCCCCACAGGAAGATTAAGGGGATCCAGGGGGTTCATATAAAGGTGACTCCCCAAAAGGGCGGCGAGGGAGGGAGTTGCCAGGAAGTCACCTGAGCTTGTAGACATCTTAGAGTGGTACTATCCAAGAGAAATACAATGTAACCTACATATGTAATTTAAAATGTTCTAGTTGTCACAGTAGCAAACAGAAAAAGGTAAAATTTATTTGAATTATATATCCAAATAGATCTAACATATTAAATCTCATATTTAAAAAAAATTCACTATATCCAAAATATCATGTCAACATGTAATTAATATAAAAATATTTCGTGGACTATATTATATGTTTTTCAATCTAAGCCTTTAAATTCTAGTGTTTATTGTACAGTTACAGCACATCTCAATTCAGATGCTAAATTTTCATCACAGATGCTCAATCTGTATTTAGATTTCAAAAAATTTCCGGTAAGAAAAAGTAGCTTCATATACTCAAGTTGCTTCAAACATACATAAACATTTCCCAATAACTGAAGCGAATATCAGTTTTTATTAATTTTTTATTGAAAAAACTTTTTGGTGGTCCATATCAGTATTTTTTTTAATAGGTCTTTATTGGAGGATAATTGCTTCACAACACTGTGTTAGTTCCTGTTGTACAACAAAGTGAATCAGCCATAGGCATACACATGTCCCCACATCCCCTCCTTCTTGAGCCTCCCTCCCATCCTCCCTATCCCACCCCTCTAGGTGGTCGCAAACACCAAGCTGATCTCCCCGTTCTATGATGCTGCTTCCCACTAGCTATTTTAAATTTGGTAGTGTATATATGTCGATGCTACTCTCACTTCGCCCCAGCTTCCCCCTCCTATCCCGTGTCCTCAAGTCCATTCTCTAGGTCTATGTCTCTGTTCCTGCCCTGCAACCAGGTTCATCAGTACCATTTTTTTCTTAAGATTGCATATATATGCGTTAGCATACAGTATATGCTTTTCTCTTTCTGAGTCACCTCACTCTGTATGACACACTCTAGGCCCATCCACCTCACTGCAAATAACTCAATTTCGTTTCTTTTTATGGCTGAGTAATATTCCATTGTATATATGTGCCATATCTTCTTTATCCATTCGCCTGTCAATGGACATTTAGGTTGCTTCCATGTCCTGGCTATTGTAAATAGAGCTGCAATGAACATTGTGGTACATGACTCTTTTTGAATTATGGTTTTCTCTGGGTATATGCCCAGTAGTGGGATTGCTGGGTCATATGGTAGTTCTATTTTTAGTTTTTAAGGAACCTCCATACTGTTTTCCATAGTGTTTGTATCAATCTACATTCCCACCAACAGTGCAGGAGGGTTCCCTTTTCACCACACCCTTTCCAGCATTTATTGTTTCTAGATTTTTTGATAATGGCCATTCTGACCAGTGTGAGGTGATAGCTCGTTGCAGTTTTGATTTGCATCTCTCCAATAACTAGAGATGTTGAGCCATCTTTTCATGTGCCTCTTAGCCATCTGTATGTCTTCCTTGGTGAAATGTCTATTTAGGTCTTCTGCTCATTTTTTAATTGGATTGTTTGTCTTTTTGATATTGAGCTCCATGAGCTGTCTGTATATTTTGGAGATTAATCCTTAGTCCATTGTTTCATTTACAAATATTCTCTCCCATTCTGAGGGTTGTCTTTTCATCTTGTTTATGGTTTCTTTTGCTGTGCAAAAGCTTTTAAGTTTAATTAAGTCCCATTTGTTTATTTTTCTTTTTACTTCCATTTCTCTAGGAGATGGGTCCAAAAAGATCTTGCTTGGTTTATGTCAAAGAGTGCTTTTCCTACGTTTTCCTCTAAGAGTTTTATAGTGTCTGGTCTTACATTTAGGTCTTTAATCCATTTGGAGTTTATTTTTCTGTATGGTGTTAGGTAGTGTTCTAATTTCATCTTTTACACGTAGCTGTCCAGTTTTCCCAGCACCACTTATTGAAGAGACTATCTTTTCTCCACTGTGCGTTCTTGCCTACTTTGTCGTAAATTAGGTGACCATATGTGTGTGGGTTTATCTCTGGGCATTCTATCCTTTACCATTGATCTATATTTCTGTTTTTGTGCCAATACCATACTGTCTTGATTACTGTAGTTTTGTGGTATAGTTTGAAGTCAGGGAGCCTGATTCCTCCAGCTCTGTTTTTCTTTCTCAAGATTGCTTTGGCTATTCGGGGTCTTTTGTGTTTCCATACGAAATGTAAAATTTTTTGTTCTAATTCTGTGAAGAATGCCATTGGTAGTTTGATAGGGATTGCATTGAATCTGTAGATTGCTTTGGGTAGTATAGTCATTTTCACAACGTTGATTCTTCCAATCCAAGAAAATGGTATATTTCTCCATCTGTTTATGTCATCTTTGATTTTTTTCAACAGTGTTTTATAGTTTTCTGAGTACCATGTCAGTATTAAATCAATTATTTCTCCAGCTTTATTGAGAAATAATTGACATATAACATTGTATAAGTTTAAGGTGTACAACGGTGGTGTTGATTTGATACACTTACATATTGCAAAATGATTACCACTATAGCAATAGCTAACACCTCCATCACATCACATCATTACCATTTCTTTTTTTTTTAATATTTATTTTTATTTGATTGCGCTGGGTCTTAGTTGTGGCTCGCCAGCACCTTAGTTGTGGCATGCGAACTCTTAGTTGTGGCACACATGTGGGATCTAGTTCCCTGACCTGGGATTGAACCCAAGTTCCCTGCATTGGGAGCTCAGAGTCTTAACCACTACACCAGAGAATTCTCAACCTGTGCTGAGAACATTTAGGAACTACTCTCTTGGCAACTGTCAAGTATATAATATAGTATTATTAACTAAAATCACCATGCTAGACATTAGATCCTTAGAACTTATTCATCTTCTAACTGGAAGTTTATACTCTTTGACCAACATTTCCCCTTTCCTCTACCATGAATATCAGCTTTTAAATTTAAATTTATTAAAATTATATAACATTGAAAATGGTTCTTTAGTGGTATCAGCAGGATTTCACACGTGGCTATCAGTTACTGGATTGGATGGTGCAGTTTTAGAGTGCTCAGGAGCTAGGCCCTGTTGCCCACTGCCAATTCCCCTTAGCATGACCCTGGGCTGGACAGACAGGGAGTCTGATCAGAGTTCAATGCCTACATTCCAAAGTTTAACATTCTAGCTATGGTGATTCTCCTGTGAGCACAGCCTCTCTGTCTTAGGCCTGGGTCAAACTGGGTCACAATCTCGGAACAGGGGAGGGGTGTTTGAATTGCTGTTACTTATAGCTTGAAGACCCCAGAAAGCAGTTTGAAGGCTCAGCTATGTAACTCATGGCTGAATGGGCCCAAACGGACCGTATGGGACCACTTAGGTTTTTCCATATGAAATAGTATGGCTAGGTCTAAAAGAGCCTTTCCCTTTTTAAAACTCATCGCATTGAGAAGGAAGGTTGACAATTTTCCTAGAGACCCTAAACTACTTGCTCAAATTAGAAATAATTTAAAAATTAAATGAGTGTCAGGAATGTCTATGGTATTGCTGGTTTCCAGTAAATGCTTATTGGTAAGTGAATTATTATTACTTCCAGTTATACCAGATTATCCAATAATGGCTTTCTTAACTGGGGGGAAGAGATGATTTTTGCAGTTCAAGTTATTTTACAACTTTCTGTATATTGTAATTAGGTTAAAAGAAATTCCATTGTTATATAAATTTGTAAGGTTCCACAGCTGTTATCTCTTCTAATCTCTTTTAGAAGTTACTATTTAACTAGGAAGGAATTAATTAATTTTTTAAGTGTATATGAAAAAAGTTCTATGTGTGTATAAATATATGTGAAGAATTTCTAAAGAAGCTGCTTGTGAAACAAATAGGGGTTTTACATCCTGTGAAACATCTTAAAATAAAAATAGTCATAAAATGCATGCTTTTTGGCTAGATAAGTTTTTATATAATCATATATAGAAAATATTTATAAAATATTTAAATATAATTATATATATATATATATATGTTTAAAAAAAACTCTGTAAATATTGCCACAAGATGGCACTAAAATCTAATGAACACTCCAGTCTCTGGCTGGTCTTGTCTCCGAAGAGTTGGGGGGTGATTTACAGGAGATCTGTAGGAGACAGTGAACAAAAAAGGCCAAATAAATAAGGCTGAAGGAAGATTGGAGGTAGATTAACATCTCCCTTTTGTCTGAAGGATAACTTCCCTCTCTCATTAGTGTGGGTATCTGTCATACAATGAATCTATAGGTTACTAAAGTTAACTATTAAAATGATTTGCTCTCCTTGACAAGTCAGTTTTATCCTTGCCCTTTGCCAGTGTATTGTGATGGGAGAGCAGCGGCAGTGAGGAGGCCATTAGGCACATCCCCTAGTTTGGGAGAGTTTATCCCGTGAGTGGTACAGTATTTGAAGTAGCCAGTCTTCACAGAGCTTGTCAAAGGATCCTGGACATGAAAATGAAGACCATGAAAAGAAGCTGCTGCAGAATACGGATTTTTCTACTTGTTTGCTTTGGAATAATTTATCAACTGAATATTTTTAGAAATTACTGCAATATTGAGATTCAAGCTTGGAACACCTCATATAATATGTCTGAGAGTCAGGAAATGAGTGAATTGAATCCCTCTTCCTGATTCTTTGTATTCCAGTTTTAAAAAAAAACATGGTACAAAACTTTAATTGTTTGATACTTTCTTAATATTTGAAGCTTAAGGACATAGCCAAGATTCCCAAGCTATATTAAGATAAAGGAAAGCAGTGTTAACAATACAGCTATAAAAGGTTTTGATTAAAGGAAGAAAAATTTAGATTTTTCTAACAGGCAAACTGAAATTAAAAGAAAAGAAAAAGTTGCTAGATTGGAGCCCTAAACAAATGATCCAAAAAAAAAAGAAAAAAGAAAAAAAAAAAAAACCCTTACTTTCTCCCATGGGATTCCACTTGGAGAAATTATTTACTTACTGACAGTTCAGTTCCTTAGATCTGAAAAACAAAATCAAAAAAACAAAAACATTAGGCATTGTAGTGGAGATAATCCAATGTGAGGGAAGCAGTTTTGGTCACTTGAATGAGGATGGGCTCTGGGGGTTAGTGGCACTAATGTCGTATTTGACCTGATTATATCTGCGGCATCCATTTGGGGACCTACATCTCAACATATGAATCATGTGTGAAAACACCATGGCTCAGCTACAGCTGGCTGCCCGGGTTTGGGTGGATGGTTGGTAAAGCAGTCTGGAGTCTGAGGTAGGAGACTCCAGAAAGTTCCAACTGAGTTCCTGAGCATTTAGGCGAATTTGCCACAGTCGTTTACTGATTCTTGCATAGGGTCAGGCATTATGCTAGGGCTTCAAGATGCTGAGATAAGACAGAATCCAGGCCCTCCAACAGCTTCCAGTCAGAGGGGGAGGCAGAAATATGAGGCAATAACCTCATCATGATGTAGTGGGTCTCTCATTTCTGAAAAACCAGTAAGCATCCCACGGCCTCCAGAATAGATATGGCCCAACCTGGGTAGTTGGTTCCTCCATGACTGGCCTCCATCCTGAGTTTCACCTCTCTCTCTCTCCACCGAGGGCAGCCACACTAAGATATTCCCTGTTCCTAGAACTTGTCCTACTCTTTCCCACATCTCTGCTTTTGTTCAAGCTGTTCCTCCTTCCTGGGAGATTCTCCCTCCCTCCCTCCCCCTTCCCACCTCTTCTGTCCATTGAGATCCATTGGCTTAGGTTCTTCTAGCTCAGACATAGGTGTCATCTCCTGCAGAATTCAAGGAATAGATGAATTAAGTCCTGGTGGGAGCAGAAGACTAGGGATCTAGCACCCCACCACACACTGATTTGCTGTGTCCCAGCCTGCAAGTTTCTCCTCCCACTCCCTGGGGCCGCAGTCTATTCTTGCCCAATGGGGTGTGGGGTGGCTGGATTTTATTGTACTATTTACTCCAGACAGTTCTCTACCTTATGACCAGGATCCTAATTAATCCTGCCAAACCAGGGCTGAGTCTGCCTTTTTCTGCCTGGTAACTTCCTCCAAGTGGACCTGAAGTTCTGCAACCAGCCTCGACCTTCGCTTTTCACTGCCCCCCCTTCCCCCAATCTTCACCTAGGGACCTAGGCTGGGTGCCGAGAAGGGGGTAGGAGGCAGGACTTGTTAGAGCCAGAGGCTGGGCCCAGGCCTACCCAACTTACAGCCACCCTCTCGGAGATCCAAACCCAGGGCTCAGGGCGAGTACCGGGTGGAGGGATGGGGGCGGCGGACTCGACCAAGGGAGGGGCCGCTTCTGAATTAAAAACAAAAAACCCCGACAACCTTGCTTGGAATCAAACGTGTGTGTGTGTGTATGTGTGCCTCTGTGTGTGTGCGTGTGCGTGTGTGTGTATTCAAAAACAAAACCACATTAAAGGAGCCGCTCCCTCCCCCACAGGTCCGACCACCCGCTGGGAGTTTGAGAAGCAAGAGGGCAATTTTGGGTGGGAGGGAGTCATCAACGGCCCGCAAAGTGCCGCCTCTCTCGGAACCGCTCGTCCAGGCTCCGCGGGCTCCGGGCAGCTAGCTCCAGCCCTCCCGCTTCGCGCGCACAAGCTGCGGCGAAGACGGGAACCCAGGTGCCGCCCGAGCCCCGCAGGGCCAGCCGCCGCGGCGTTAAGACTCCCCAGTCGCCGCCTCTCCCAGCCCGGCGGTCTGGGCCGTCAATCAAGCTCGCCCGGCCCCGCCCCTGGGCTGCAGCGGACGGCCAATCAGAGCCAAGCTCCGCAGCGATGAGCTCAGTCGGCTTGCTTCCCATTGGGCGGCTATATTAAGAAAGTCGCCGAACTCTTTAAATAGCGGGCGCTGGGGCCGCAGCCCGCATCTGCCACCGCAGTCTGGCGGCACTCGTGTGTTGTTTTGTACATTTGCTGAGGCCTAGAGAGACCCGGGAGGGAGCTAGGCCGGGTTCGCTGCTCTAGCCACTTTTTGCGCACAAAGGCGCCGACCCCAGGCCCGGGACGAGGCGAGCGGCCACCGCTCCGGAGCAGCGCGGAGACGCACGGCGCGCCCTATGCCCCGGCGCCCCCACCTACCCCGCCGCGGCAGCCCGAACACAGAGAGAGAACGCGCCACCCCGGGGCCTGGGTGCAGCTAGCAACCCTTTCCCCCAGCGCGCAGCCCGAGGTGAGCAGTGAGCGGCGAGCGGGACGGCAGCGAGGCGTTCGCGGGCCCCCTCCTGCTGCCCGGGCCCGGCCCGCTCATGGCGGCCATCCGTAAGAAGCTGGTGGTGGTGGGCGACGGCGCGTGCGGCAAGACGTGCCTGCTGATCGTGTTCAGTAAGGACGAGTTCCCCGAGGTGTACGTGCCCACCGTCTTCGAGAACTACGTGGCCGACATCGAGGTGGACGGCAAGCAGGTGGAGCTGGCGCTGTGGGACACGGCGGGCCAGGAGGACTACGACCGCCTGCGGCCACTCTCCTACCCGGACACCGACGTGATCCTCATGTGCTTCTCGGTGGACAGCCCGGATTCGCTGGAGAACATCCCCGAGAAGTGGGTGCCAGAGGTGAAGCACTTCTGCCCTAATGTGCCCATCATCCTGGTGGCCAACAAGAAAGACCTACGCAGCGACGAGCACGTCCGCACAGAGCTGGCGCGCATGAAGCAGGAACCGGTGCGCACGGATGACGGCCGTGCCATGGCCGTGCGCATCCAAGCCTACGACTACCTCGAGTGCTCGGCCAAGACCAAGGAGGGCGTGCGCGAGGTCTTCGAGACGGCCACGCGCGCCGCGCTGCAGAAGCGCTACGGCTCCCAGAACGGCTGCATCAACTGCTGCAAGGTGCTATGAGGGCCGCGCCCGCCCCGCCTTCCCCTGCCGGCGCGCCTCCCCCTCCCGGGCCCAGCCCCCACGAGCCCGGGGAAGGGGAGACCCGCGTGCCCCAAGGACCCCACCGGACTGCCTGGTGTCTGCCTTCAGCCCCGGCCGACGTGGCCCGGCGGCTGAGGCTCTGGCGCCGGGAATCCGCGTGGTAGGCACCGGGCGCCTGCTTTCCAAGTGTCTGTGCGTCCGGCTGTGTTGCACAGGCCTGGCCGCCCCGCTGAGTGCCAAGGGTCCCCTGACCACCCTTTAGGGAAGAGTCAAGCCTCTTCAGAGTGTGTGGCTGTGTGTATGTTCGACTCCCCGCCGCCGGGTTTTCACCCCATGCCCGCCTCTGCCTCCCGGAGACAAGCTTGGCACCGGGGTGCGGCCGCGCCCCATCAGATGTTCGTCCATAACCAGCGAGCGCCTGCTATCCCCTGTCTGTAACATAGACCCCGGGAACTGCGGGAGGGGAGGGCTGGGGAGGATGGGGTGTTATATAAATATAGATATAATTTTATTTTCGGAGGTAGGACGGTGTTATTTAATGGTGGTGGTGGGTGGAGTGACGGGGCGCTGGAACAGCTCCGGCCCAGCCTGGGTCAGGCGTCCATCCCAGCACGAACAAGACTTGGCCATCTTTCCAAACCCTGGGAAGACGTTTGCAGGCGACTTGGGGATGAGAGGACACAGCTTCTAGACTCATGGCTCCTGCGGGCCAGCCCCCCCGCCGCCCCCCCCCCGCGAACCCCCTCACCAGACACAGGCAGGAGGAGGGAAAGTGTGCTGCAGGTCATTTTTGCCATAAGCGAACTTTGTGCCTGTCCTACAAGTGAAAATCGTTCAGTCCAAGAAACTGATGTTATTTGATTTATTTAAAGGCTAAAACTTGGGTGGGTTTTTTTTGGGGGGGTGGAAGAATTCTTTGCACAATTGTTTCATTGTTTGACATTTAATGCACTTGTCATTTGCATAAGACAGTAGCATTCTGACCACACTTGTACACTGTAACCTCATCTACTTCTGATGTTTTTAAAAAAATGATGACTTTTAAAAAAAAGAAGAAAAAGAAACCACTAATTTTTTTTCTTTTGAAAAAAGTGGCAACACTGTTCTGTTTTGCGATTTTATGTGTGCAGGTATGCGCACCCTTTTGAGAAAGGGCAGTAACAAGTGTTAGAGCCTATCTAAAACCTGTCAGTCTCTAAAGCTGTGTGAAATTTTCTCTGCATCTCTGTACAGAGAGTAAACCTGCCCCTAGTGTGTCTCTTTTCTCCCCCTCCCTTCCCCATCCAGTGGTACTTCTACTAAATTGTTGTGTTGTTTTTTATTTTTTAAATAAACTGACAAATGACAAAGTGGTGAGCTTATGATGTTTACATAAAAGTTCTATAAGCTGTGTATACAGTTTTTTATGTAAAATATTAAAAGACTATGATGACGACATTTATAAAATGGCTCCTGTGGTTTAATAATGTGTAAAATATTCTGGTGAATTTGGGGGCAAGGGCAGGATTCTGCAGTGGAGGTCCCACCAACTCAGTTTCCCTCATAGTGTTTGTAAGAAATGGGGATGAAATCCCTTCGAGGACGTGTGGGGTTGCGTGGCCATGGGGGACCAGGTTCCTCCCGTCCCAGTCCCGGAGGTTACCCCGGCACCCAGTGCCCAAACCTTTGACCTAACATGTACTGTTTGTATGTCTTAAGCACTTGTGTCGAAGTCTATTATGGGGCCGTTGCTGCCTATTCTTTGAAACTTGGAAAGGTGTCATTTAAAATTTAGATGACTTTTTTGTTGTTGTTGTTAATCACCGGTGTGGGACCAGGCTCTCTGTCCAAAAGACTGGTTCCTGGGTTCCCTTCAGATCCTCGTGGGGTTACACAATAACCCCACGATTGTAGGGTGTTATCTCTGGCCTGAGCTCCTGGGTGGAAGTTGGGGAGAGCCCAGATCAGAAGCTGATTCTTCTATCGTTCAAGTTTCATCTGAAGGTCTATATGTAGCCTAAAATGCTTTATTCTAAGTGCCAGGAGTGGCCGCATTACAGACAGAACACGAGGCTTTGGGTGGCTGTTATTGAAAGTTGGGGCAGGCACACTTTGACGTGGAATCATGATGAGCTCTAATTTCAGACAGTTAGCCTGCTGCAGTGGGTCCCAGAACCAGACAGGCAGATTTATCTTCAGAGACCGTATTAAAATCCCGCTCCAGGTATGACGGCTCAAATCTGCCAGCCTCAGCAGCTTCGAGGAAAGGTAGCAGATACTGCCAGCCTCTCCCAACTACCAAAGACGTGGTTTTTGTTTTTGGAATCAACACTTTCTGGGTTTCTAGCCCTTAGTTGCCTGCTGCCACTGCCCACCCCCGCCCCCCTTCCCCCCCCACCCCCGCCAGCTCACCTCCTCCAGGCAGAAGCAGAGAAGGCCCCTTTTGAATCCCTTTGCTTTAAAACTTGAGGCTTCTGTTTCCCTGTCTTTCCCTAGACTCCCAAGAGCTTTTGTTGAGTGAGGCAAGCCTGGTTGCTGGTGACTTTTCACCCACTTAAAAAACAAAACAAAACAAAACATTAACAGGGCCTCCTGCACAGCCAGGCTCATTGGCCGACAGAGGGGAATTGTCTGGGCAGCTCCAGGCACAGAGCAAGGAGAGGGTCCACCCAGGTTGGCTTCTCTAAGCCACTGCCTCATCCTTTCCTCAGCTCCTGGCCTCACCTCTAGCCCTCAGCCTACTTTTTCTTCTTCATTTTAAAGGCAAAAATTTCCACAGAAAAACAAAATGTTGATTTGCAAGTTTTACAGCTTGCAAATCCTTTGGTACCAGGGAGTGCAGGACTCTGTGAAGAGCTCAAGCTTGGGCTCAATGCCCAGTACTCAGCTTTGCAACCAGCCAAGAGCCTGGAGTCCCAGCCCCCGAAAGGGCCTTTTCTGGGTTTTCTGCCTGCTCAAATCTGCCTGGTACCTATAGCTGCCTTTTTTTTTTTTTTAATTTTAGGAAGACAACAAGCCAGGTGACACATGGCAGCCTGGGTTATGCTCATTTTAAAATGCATGGCATTTAATAATCCTGCCGGAACACACTCTTCTTGCTGCATTAGATCCAACTGGAAAATATAAAGACGAATTGCTGTAGGCTGGAAAATCAATTAGGAAAAAAGAGGTAAAACATCTGGTGTTAGGATATGAAAATTCATTTTGCACATTTAAAATAAATGTGCTGAGTTCATTTAATTGCCTGTTGAATGGTTTCGTGGAGAATAGTGGGGTGTTTCATTGATCCTGGGCATTTCGTAGCAAGGGGCATTGGCTTGGGTTCTTGTTTAATCTTAATTTGAAATCAATCTGGGCCGTATTTCTAGGGTCTTTTTCACATGTGTTTCAGTGTACTCAGAACAGTGGTTTTCAAACTTAGGCATGCATTAGAATCACATGGAGGGCTGGTTAAAACACAGATGGCTGGGCCTAGCTTCCAGAGTGTCTGATCAGTATGTCCGGGGTGGGGACCAAGTGATGCTGATGCTGCTGGTCTGGGGACCACACTTCGAGAACCACTGACTTAGAATAAAGGAGAGTTCATGTCATTGCACAGAGGATGGAGGTCATTTCAGCAGGAAAGTAAATCACATTCCCGAGGCTGAGGGTGTAGTGCCCTGTAGTCCCGACTGCCCTGCCTTAAAGAGCACAGCACTTTCAGAGAATTTCCCTCCCAGGATGACCCATACATAACCCCTATCTTCTCTTCTCCACATTCTTGTGCAACAGGGGGTTTAATGCCCTTCTAGAGATTTCTTTCTGCCATTCTGAATTCAGAACGCAACAGCACTCTGCTGAGACAAGGGATACAAAAGCAAACAGGACACAATCCTTGCCCTGGTGGGCCCGG